TGAAAAAACAGCTGAGTCTTCAGCGGCGCATCGCAAGGCAACAATACCAGTACTGGTTTGTACCCTGATGACAGCGAGTCTCTCCATAATGACCCCGGCGCGACCCAAAATAAGGGCACGCCTCCAGAGGCGTTGCTTCGAATTGCTTGGCATTCCATTGCTTCGCGTTGCATCATATGGCATTACTTTGTATTGGCGTCTCTTGGCATTGCTTGACAATGCTCGGCATTGTTTGCCATTGCTTGGTACTGGTTTGATTGATTGGCGTTGCTTGGCATTGCTTCGCATCGCTTGGCAAAGCTCGGCGCTGCTTGGCGTTGCGTAGCATCATGTAGCGTTGCTGCGCCGTGCTCGGCGTTGCTTGGCATTGCTTGGCCCTGCTTGGCGTTGCTTGGCATTGATTGGCATTGCTTTGCACGGCCTGGGATTGCTTGGCAACGCTTGGCATTGCCTAACGATGCTTGGCATTGCTTAGCATTACTTGACATTGCCCAGCACAGCTGGGCGGCGCTTTGCACTGCTTTGATCTGCTCGGCGTCGCCTGGCGTTGCTGAACGACGCCTGGCGCTGCCTGGCATAGCTGAAAAACAAGGCCAACAATCAGGGCAGGAAACCCGAGGACCCCGGGGAATCCGATGAACCTCCGGGGAAAGGGCACAGAAAAAAACGAGGCGCCAGGCGCGGGGAATCCGAGGAAGGGGGGCTCGAGGAACCTCCACAGATAGGGCAACGCAAGGCCGCGAGGCACCAACCTTCGACCAAATAAGAACCCCTTAGGCACGCCCAAGCAGGGAGATTACTTTGGTGGAAGACACCATGGGATTACCCACCCATCACATACCAGACATCGTGCCAAAAATAACTAACAATTCGTACTCTTGCATTTCTGCGCACGCCCGGAAAAACACCTGAGCTTGAGCACGCCCCAGTGGGCATTACGGTAAACGCGCCTCAGCTCCGCAAACGCAGCGTTGCATTACCTGGGATGAACGGAGGGGGGTCACGGAGAAATTTGGACTGCCAGTGCCTGATCTGGTCGAGCCACTGCTCGCGCACGCCGAGAGGGCAACCGGGCAACTCGCCCTGCCAAACGGGGGGGGGCCAGCCAGATAAATCAACGGTAACGGCTCGCACGCGCCCCCGTAGGCGGAACTGGAAACTGGCGCGACAATCTACAGAGGCGCTCGTACTCCCGCCACACATCACCGCTGGTCCACTTACCGAAGTAGCTCCTCCAAAACTTACGCGCGGACCCGGTGAGCAATGGCACTCGGTCTGGATAACAACATGATCGGGGTCGCGTTCCTCATCGCCCTCGCCCTTGACCTTCTCTGCGCATACCTGGCAGCGCTCGCGGCGGCCGCCTCGCCCGATTCAACAAGCGGTGTTTTTTGGGGATTGGGTGCTGGCTTGATAGGCAACCCGGAACTGGAAGACATGGACGACGTCTGTTGCGTCGACCTTCCCGCGACCCCCAGGCGCGACCTTGGGCGGTGACCCCGCACTGGATAACGGCATAGCCCCCATGAGTTCCTTAGGCGGCAACTTCCGCGCAGCCTCTGGCGGAGGCTTCGCCCTGGGTAGCGCCTGGGACGTTGGTGGGATAGCGTTCGAACGCCGTCGGGGGGATCCAGAATGTCGGCACCGCTGAAAACACCACGGGGCGCTGAGTGGGCACGTCTGTAGATATCGCCCACTGCGCAGGGAACAGTCGCCATGGCGTTCTGGCGCGCCGGCCCGGGTCATCGGGCAACAGCGTCACCGATCTGGCGCGCCAGCTCCACGATCGCCGGCATGCTACCACACACCTTGCGATAAATAACCTGGCGCGCCTCCTCATCTGCTGCTTTGGCCCCGTTTAAAGCGTCGACCTGCGCCTCGAGGGTCGCCACCTGTGTCTCTAACTACCCTCGTTGATCATTGGCCTTGCGGAGTCAACCCGCGACCGTGGGGTTGGCGCCGTTGCACACAGAAGATAGTCGCCTGGTCGTCCAACCTCTGGAATACCTGTTTTGACGTGGCACCCCCCTGGACGCAACCGTGGACAAGCATTTCTTCACCGCCAACATGTCACAGAACCTCTGACGATGCAAACCCCGACGCCAGGCTGGGCTCGGCTGGGCAGGCGCCGCCGCCCGCCGTGGGGCTGCAAGGGCGAAGCCGCCGCTGGTGAATCAGCTAGGGGGGGAAACGTGGGTGTTGAGCGCAGTAAACCTGGGCCGCACTTGCACTGGGCCGCAATCGAGGCCTCCTAGATGGGGTCGGAGTAGATGGGGTCGGAGGATCGCGCCGAATCGCCGATACATCGGCGATGCATCGGCATTGTATCGGCGATGCATCGGCGATGCACTGGCGATCTATGGTCGACGTGGACGATGCATCGGCGATGTCAACGTGGAGCAAATCGGGCTCCACATCGAGCCGCATCGCCGATGCATCGGTGATGCGGCGCGAACCTCCGACCCCATCCATTCCGACCCCATTTGGGAGCCCTAGACGCAAACAGCTGCAGCGTGCGCGTTAGCAGTGTGCTGCGGGCGATAACCGACGTTTCCCCTGCAGCGCAATTTGGTCTGTGGCACGC